GGGCCCTGTCCGCCCCGGTCCCTGCCACCACCCCCTTGGTGCACCTGCCCTGATTGAGCCGCTCAGAGCAAACCCGAGCGTCCTGGTGGAGCTGAGAGCAGCTGTTTTGGCAGCCCTGGGAAGGATGCGAGTCTCTGCCGGGGATGCGATGATTGGGGATGTGAACAGGGGTACCACTTGTGATGGGATGCAGTCCCCTCAGGGACCACCAACCCATGAAGGCCATGGCAGCACTTGCCGTGTGGGAACCTGCTGGTGCCCCAAATCTACACGTGCTGGTGGAAAGGCGTTCCTGGTGAGCGCAGCAGAGCGCACAGAGCCCAGGGCTCAGCTCCATAGGGTCTGGCCGTGGCCCTCTGCGCTGCCCTGCACCAGCCAGAGGCATTTACTGCTGAGGCCAAGCCATTTGGTGGCTAAAGCAGCATCACTGACATCAAATCTGTGCTACAAACCAGTCCAACCATTTTCTGGCCCATAGCCCCTTTCCCTCCTGGGTTATTCAGCACAGCTGGAGCTCCTTCCCATCCGCCAACAGCATCAGCTGCAGCTTCTTATCAGCTCTGGGTGTGATCCAGGCTGGAACCAAGTGAGAGGTTAGATGGAGGAAGCTTTTGGAGCAGGCAGGCCTTGTGCCGCAGCTCCTCATGTGGAGCAGCAGGTGATTTGTGCAGCAAAAGGGAACATGGGACCTGTCCAGAGCCACCCTGTGTGCCAGCCGGCTGCAGCCACAGTGAGTGTCTGTCTTCTTTTCTCCTGGGGGGTTACAGTGGCCTGTGGCAGGCAGGGGATGCTCTCCTGGGCCAACGTGCTGCAGTCCCCTGGCTATGTGTGGTGGGTGCTGCTGCTGCAGTCTTCTGTGCATGGAAGATGCTGGGGCTGTAGCTGGTGCTTTTGCCTGCTCATTCTGAGGTGCAAGGTCCTACAGTGAGCAGGGTGGGCTGTGGTCACACAGCTTTGTGGGCTCCTGTGCTGCTTTGCTGGTATCAGAGGTGAGAGCAGCATCCACAGGCATTGTGGTTGCTCCTGGTTGATGAAGAGTGCAGGGGGTGAGGGGAGGATGCAGGTGAATGGACTCCCCAACTCTCCCCTGCCATGGGGCTGTTGGCTGCAGCCGGTCAGAGAACAAGTCTCTGCCTTTCTTCACATTTAAAAGCTATTTTTGCACCTAGTTTTGCCTCACCACTGTGACCAGCACCAGGTCCCCTCCTGCTGTCTCCCAAATGCACTGGGCATGGCTGCATTAGGGACAGGTAGCTCCATCCCCAGCCCAGTGCTGGTGCCATTTTACTGCTTGGTTTTCATTTATATGGAGTAAAGGGTAAGGAACAGCAGTGAATACTTGGGAAGTTCACCTGTGCAGCAACCCCCTGCAGCTCCACTGCCTGGATCCACTATCCCACCCCTCCACCATCCCATCACCATCGCCTTAAACCCTTGGAGAATGGGAAGAGGCTGGAGAAGCCCCATGGGCAGTGCCAGCAGCAGCTTCTCCACCTGCCCTGGCTTAGGGAAACACCCAGCTGGGCAGCTCCTGCTCCAGGGCAGGTACCAGGAAACCCTTCGGGCCCAGGCTGGATGCTGAGGCTGCAACAACAGCACAAAAAGCCTGGTTGATAAATGTCAAAAGCAATAGAGATTTCGGCTGAAAGCAATTTGCCAAGCCATGCAACCGCCCTGGGCTCGCCATTTTCCGTCCTTCATTTATCATGGTGAGCGCTTTGGCCAAAATACACAAAGGAGAGAAATTGTTGATGTGTGGGGCCCTCGCAGAGCAAATCCTTCATCCTCCTCCCCCTCCCCGCTGCACACAAACTAACTTTTTGGGAGTTGTTTATTTAAGGACTGCAGAGCACTCGGTGCTCTTTGAACCCAAATGCCTTGGGAGCAGGGCTGCGGGGCTGGCCACCACCTTCCCTCCTCTCCATGAGGTGCTGTTGGGAAGTACCTGCTGGTAGTGAGGATTGGAGCTGCACCATGTGCTCAGAACCCTGTTCTGCTTCTACCTCTTCTACCCCCTAAAATGTGGTACTAGTGGCTGGCACGGGTGTTCTGTAAGTGGTCAGGGATGGCAGATGCTGGTTTTAGAAAGTTCTTATGTTGGCTTTTGTTCTTCTTGGTCTGGGTAACACTGACAGCACTGCTTTCAGTTCTCTATCCACAAAGCCTAGGGGAATGCAAAGCCTGTCTCCCCTGCCCACTCTGCACCAGTTGGTGCTGAGCTCCCTCGTGCCTTCCTGGTGGCCAGGCTGCAGGAAACTGCTGGCCATGGCAATGGGCAAACGCCTCTTTTGGGATGCGTGAACCCAAGGAGATAAACCAGCTGGGAACTGGCTGTTCCAAGGTTGCTCTTCCACATCTCATTTTAACTTTATTTTAAGCAAGAAATAAATGCCAAGCTTCACAGCAGGACAGCACAGGCTTCTCCTGCAGTGGTCCTTGCTTCTGTGAGGTGCTGGGATGCAAACGGGCTGGTGCACAAGGTGAGCAGGGCAGTTTTCCTCCTGTGCCCCAGCTCCCATGTGTGAGCCCTTTCCAGCAGTCTCTACTCTTCCTTCCTGTTGTTTTATTTTAATCTTGGTTCCCCCCATTCTGTTGCCACCGGGATGAAGAACAGTGAGGAGAGTTCCCCCCTCCCTCCAGTACAACCCAAGCAGCACAGAGCTGCTTTGGAGGTCTGGCAGGGCTGCCCCTGCCCATTGCTCTGGGCAGGGATGGTCACTGGGGTGCATTGCAGTCTGCTTTGACTCGAGGGGGGAGTGTGTCCATCTGGATGGTGCTTATCCAAGCAGCTCCTTGGTCTTTGCTGCCAGCAGCTTGTCCATCTCGGCTGCAGCGCTGTCTGCCATTTGCTGGATCTGTGGCAACACAGTGCAAGTCAGAGTCGTGTGCTGGGTGAGAGCTCAAAGGGATAGGAGTGACTGGATCACCTCAAACAATGCCTGAAGTCCCGGCTGAGTCCCACCAGCCCTCAGTGACTCTGTGCCAGTGAGAACAGGGACCGGTCAAAGGCTTTGAAAAGAGACACACACCAACTCCTGGCTGAGCTTCACAAGTGACTTGGTCCTTACTTAAGTGAGTTTAGGGGAGGCAGAGATAGAGACCTGCTGGTGTTGGCACCAGAAAAGAGAGGGTTTACCTTGTCCTTCAACCTTTCCACTGTTAGAACAAACCAGATAACAGCAGGAGCGCAGCCTCCGTATGTGCCCAGTTCACACATCAAGTAACTGATCTGCTTATTTCTTATAAAAATAAATAAAATGGTGCCTGTTAAAGCACTGCCCAGGAAGCAGGACTCCTGGTAACACACGATGGATGTGGCAGGCTTGGAAATGGGACCAAAATGTCCATGTGCTCTTTTAAGTGAGTGCAGGTAATGGCTGGAGCACATCGGGGGGGTTATGCACTAGTTTTACAGGACTGACTAAGATGCATTCTCTATGTGATGCTGACCTTTCCTCACCGAAAAATTTGGGTACAAGCGAAAACTAGAGTTGAGACGATACCTCCACAAATGCAGAAACCATCTGTCTGCTCTGGGAGAACGGCTTCCCCACAGGATTCAGTTACAATAGCATGGCCATTTTTCCTGCTTGCACAAATGCTCTGGTATATCAATGTTTATTTTTGTGAGCACACAGAGAACTGTCCCAAAGCATTTGCAATGTATCTAACTTTAGCTGTTAATAAACAAACAGCTAAAAAGTAATGGCCTGCCTTCAGAGGCACCAATTCAGCAAAACACTTAGGCTTGTGCCTGAGTTTATGCCCAAGTAATTGACTTTAGTGACATCTGCTCTTAGGGAATTAGGCATGTGCTTAAGTATTTTCCTGAATTGGAGCCAAAACCTCCTAACAGAGATAATCTCGCTAGCCTTTTCATTAATAACAAACTGGAGCAATCCTCGTTAACACCAGCTGTTTTGCAGTGGCCAGGCACTGTGTAAGTGGTGGTAAAGCTACCAATGTAGGTTGTTTTGCTCCCCGAGTTCAGCTGCTTTGTGCAACAATCCCTGTAAGCATGAAAGCTTTGGGGGAACATTTTTTTTCCCCCTCTGTGTCAACTTACAATGGTTCATATCATAAATCTGGCTTTATGACTGAAGCTCCAAATCTCATAAAGAAAAAGCAAATACAACAGCCATTGTTGACTTAAAATACCCAGCCCTGCACCACCCGTTCCCCAGCTGGGTTCTCAGTGCTGGAGATCTGTCAGCAAAGGGCTGGCACAAACACACCAGAGCTGTGAAACATCATGATGTGGCAGAAGCTATAAAACGATTACCTGCTTTTCCAGCAGCCAGATGGTATCTTCAGACACTTTGTTCTTGCTCTTCTTTACCTGGTTGATGCTTTTGCTTCGCACCTTTCTCAGGGCCTCTTTGGACTTGTTGGTGGACTGCTTGGCAAGCTTGGCCAGGCTCTCCCTGTGCTCTCTGGTTACCCTAGCAGCAAAGAGGGGGGGAAAAGAACACCAAAAGGAATAACAATGTCACGTGTGGCACAGCCAGGTTCATTTTCTGCAGCTGATGCTGGGTAAAAGCAGTGATCATCTCTGCTGCAGCACAGGGATGCCTAAAAACCACCTGTATTAACACAGAGCTTGCTCTGTATTGCAAAGGCAGAGGGACTTAACAGCTCAGGGCATGTTTTTATCCTGCTTGGGTCCACCTGAGCCACCTCTGCACAGCATCACCAAGGCAGCACACCCCAGTGAAGCAAGTCTTGAGCCTAGCATGGAAAGTTCCCAGCACAGCCCTAAGCTGAGTGACTTGGACTGGATCATACTTGGTTTACAGTTGTCACTGCAGTGCTTGAAATTTATGCTGATATGTTCAGACTTCCCTTTTTTCTGCTGCCAAAGCATCTGTGGGAAAGAGGGAAAATCCAGCTCCAGACCTGAGAGATGGAGCTGAAAAGCGTAATCCTGCAGAGCTGGGAGGAAACCTCTGTCCCTTCCTGAAACTCTTGGTATTGTCTCCCTGAAACCATAGAGCTTGAATTATGTATCTGGAAGCTACAGAGCTTATGTTTCACTCAACCTTAGCCCAGCTCATCGTGACCAGGCTTTTCCACCAAGACAATGGTTTGACAAGAGGATGATGCTACACATGGCTAGCCACAGGTAACTCAGCCCAGGAGAACTTCAGCTCCACCTTCCCCATAACGTGGGGCCAGTTACTGCTGTGATGCCACAAGAAAACCCCCAAATTCCCATCCCACACTAAGGTGATGAGGGAGTCTGGCCATCTGAATAAGGCACAGGGAATGGCTGGTGCGTCGCCTCAGCTCTGGTAATGCTCCAGCACCTCCAGCTGATCACTGTCAACATCAACTGCAAGTGCTTAACAATATCTTAATTAATATCATGGCTATTGGAGCTCCCAGACCGCCTCGAGTGTGAAACCCCTCGAGCGTGAAACCCCTGTGCTCCCACTGAGCCTCGCTAGCAAGAGAGCGCCCGTCTGCTCGCAACAGATACTGCAAAATAAACATTTCACTGGAGTATTTAGAAACTGGCTGCAGCAGCCTTGGGTCACCAAAACACTGAGGCCAAGACTCCTCCTGCACAGAGCTCGGGAAACGTGGGGTGAGGGCTCCCGGGGCAGCAGCAGCTCTGCCCCTGCAGGGGGGTGTGCTCCAGGGGGGCTGTTGGGGCACAATCAGACCCTCAGCCCTCCTCAAGCTTGCGCTGAGCCCAGCAAGTGACACACATGCTGACACCTTCCCAGGTTGCTCGCAGCAGATGTCTGCAGAGGCACTGGCCTCATGCCAGTTATCTTTATTTCATGGTGCAAGAGGGAATAGGCTTCCCAGAAGTGATGAGTAATAACAGGGATTTGGAATCGCTAGGAAAGCTGACAGACGTAGAGAGCAGCAACCCAGCTCTGGCATCCACAGTGTCCTCACAGGCACCCTGCCCTTACCCAGGGGCACCCCCAGCCCATCCTGCTCCAGCGGGGAGATGGCCAGTGGATTTCACATGTGGCAGGAGCTTCTGGTCAGTGCAGGCTCCAGCCTGGACCAAACACCTAATTAGAAGTGAGTGGGGTTACTTGTGGTTTCCTCCACATCCCAACATCAATGCCTTTAGGGCTTCTCGTGTTCGATCTCCCCAGCCGGAGGTCCCGCAGCACAGGCGGAACCAGCAAAGCCGGCTCACAAACAGGGGTCTGGGGGAGGTCAGGTTCTCAGGCAGCTCTGTAGGGGGGTAGGGAGTCAATCCTGGCTGCTGAACTTGGGAGGAGGGAGCTGGAAACCCCATCTGCTGCTGGGTGGTGAGGCAAGCTGGGCTGCGGCAGGGCTGGGGAGACCCAGCTTGCCAACAGCTATTCGCCTTCCCTGCTCCCGCTCAGCTATTCCGAGTTGTGCCGAGGGTATCACTCGGCTGCTTGGGGCTGCAGAGCCTTTAAGGAAATGTTTTTGTTTATGCAACGCTGCCAGATTTCCTATGCTTCTTGGCACGGGGTCACAGCTTTCATGCCTCCTTGTCTGTCTTTATTAACACCAATTTCTTTTTATCACTGCACAGTGCCGTGGAGTTTCTCAGCGGGTTTTATGTTCCAGCCAGACTGTGTGTAAATTCTCAGCAATGCTACCAACAATGCCAGAAACGGACACTTTTTCAAGCAGATGCTGTTTCTGGTTAACAAATCCATCAACACGAGCCAGGCCCATGGTTTCTAAGGACAGTTGTTTAATCCTGCCCCCAGGTCTGGGACTTTTAAGCTGTTCTTAGATGTTTTCTTTTCTGTCTAGTAACCGTTGTCCCTACCTCCTCTTTAAAGCCAAAAAAAGCATAAAGTGAGCCTGGGGAAGGGTGCCAGAAGTGGGGAACAGGGACAAAGTCCCTGCCTGTTGCCCTTTCTGTCCTCCCCTGCTGTTCAAGGAGCAGTGGGCTCAAACTCTGCCATTCCCCCAGGGATGGTTCTTCCCTTGCCAGGATCAGGACGGAGGCTGGTGCCTGACAAGCCAGGGTGTTCAGAAATGCCCATTACCCCTTGTGTAACATCTCTTTCTGTTTCCCTCAGTGACCAGTGGTTTAAGCACTGCAACCCCTGGATGCTCCTCTCCCCACATACGGCAGGAGCAGACCCACAGCGAGCACAACGCAGGTCACGTCTCCAACGCAAGACATTTATGCTGGTAAGAGTAATTTCTGTATCTCAAATGCTAGGAATTTCCTGTGAAGAGAGGGATCAGTTAAAGGAAAGTAGGCTTAACTAAATACTCTGCATGCATAATTGCAGATAAACATAGGGTGCAACGTATATTGCTCAACAAAAAGCATGCAAGAGGCTTCTGACGATGAGCGATCCGGAGCAACGCAGCTCAGAAACAGCTCTGGGTTTTTCCAGCAAGAGGGATTTTTGGAGTCCTTTCTCCCTGTAGTAGGTATCTTTGCATATTTCTTAAAGGGCAAAAGGAAGAAAAAAAAAGCTCACAATGAGTCATTAAACTTTCAAAAGAGTCATCTGGCTTTCAGTAAAGCATGTGTAAAAATATTACTAACTTACAAACAATATCCAGTGTAACACAATGGGTCCAAAAAAGATGAATCTAAAAATGAGGCACCACCATAAAAGACACAAGGTCAGGTCAAATTCGGCCAAGAGATCAACCAATACGAATGTTCCCATGGCTGCTTTTCTTTCTTTTCTTTTTTTGCCCTTTTAAAACCCTCAGAGAATACTTTTTACACAAATAAATATTGCCTGTGCAGTGCTAGCAACACAAACAGGCGAAAGCCTTGGGGAGCAGAGGGGATCCTAGCAGGCAGCAGAAGTAAACACCAGCGGAACGAGTGTATTTTTTCTGCTACAACTGCAATGCAAAAACTAAACTAATAGAATAAATACTGGAAAGTAAACTCCATTTGAAAATGCGCAGTTGAAACAGTCTCAAGCACTGAAGCTGGATCTGCATAAGGCAAAATGACACGTGTCCAGCTGATAAATCAGACTAAAAAGTGTGTTTAATAACAGGTAAGGACAAGTCAGCTTTGATTTTACTTTTACTGTGCCTCCCCTCATGACAGAACTGATTTCTGCGGAAACAATAACGTCTCTATTGTCTCTTCATTTCTGATGTGTTTGCTCATTTTTCACACCTGCCATAATTTTGGCAATCTCTGCATCTGTTATATTCTTTTGTAAAGAAGAGTGGGGAAAATGAAAAACTTGGAAAATTTGAAACAGTAATTTGGAGATACAGTATTAAGGAGAGGTCTCTCATAGAATTTGGTTATTTCCATCCTCCCTGTGCATTAGAAGGTTTTAAGGTTGGAATGGTTTTTTTGGTAAGTGGTTGAAACTCTGAAAGACCCAGTCGTGGTACTAAAGAGCAAACGGGACGGCGAGGGCAGACCTGCACGACGCATCTCTCAAGCTAAAAACCTCTTTAACTTAGGACCCATTGGGCTGCCAATCAGCTAGGGGGAAAGGGGCCAGGACCTGCACTCCTTACACACCAGAGGAACAGGGGAGCACATCCTCCCTGGAGAGAGAAGACTCATTTTAGTTCTGCAGCACCACAAAAGGTAGGGACAGACCATACGCATTTGTTTAAAAAACAATATATTTTTTAAGATTGGGATTTTCAGTTTTGGAGTTTCCTCCCCTGCAATTCATATTCAAGGATGACCCAAGTGCCCATTAACAATCAAACCACTGTGCAGCAACCCGGGAGCCTCAGCAATTATGAAGATAATGGTGCCCTCCTCCTCCTCCTCTCCTGAGGAATGGGGGAAGGGCAGGGAGCACGGGGAAAAGAAAATCAGCAAATAGAATGATAATGTCATTCCCTCTCACCAACAGCAACGGAAAGCTGCAATTAGACTTCTCTGATCAAAATGCTAGGGGAAAAAAATCCATAGAATTTTAAAAGTAGATGTAAAGCACGAGAAATACTTGGCTCATCTTGACTGAGGAGTCACCTGCTTGTAAAACGCAGCGCACGTGCAAGGCGCTTGCACGCACAGGCAGTGTAGGGAGCTGTCCTCACCCTTCATGGGACCAGCACTCTGTAACCCCAAGGTGGGAGATCACGTACACCTGCTCAGGGCATTTAGATGGCCGCAGGGTCTGAGCACCCACAGGAGCTTGTGAGTTATCCTTGCACCACACAAACCTGCCCCTGTCCCAGGCTGTGTCTATGCAGGCCAGTTGTGCAGCACAGTAGGAGCAGAGCTGCTGGCAGGTCCAGCCTGGTCGCATGGACCAAACACGTGTGCAGCGGGGGAGCACTGGGTGAGCTCCCAGAAGGTACCTCTCTAGTATGATGAGGTACCTCATGTGAAAGGAATCCCGTTCACAGGCAGAGCCCCCAGCGTGCTGCAGCCCAAAGCACACTAAGCAGGAATCATCAGGATTGCTTCAAAAGCACTCTCCTGATCCAAACTGAAGCACTGATGCAGTAGCACCTCCTGCTTCGTCCAAGGGCTGGGACACTCCTGTGATGGATGAGGGAAGTGATGCTCAAACCCTAGCCAGGAGCAGCCTGCTCTTCTAGCAGCTCTATTCCAAAGCTTCTACACAGCCATCAGCTTCACAATGTGTATTACATGAGAAGAGGGAGTGGATTCTTCAGTCAAAGCTATAAATTTCCTCCTCCTTTCTTTCATCACCACATTTTAGTGCCTTCTGCAGCAAGGTGCTATTCACCCCTAACACTACTAGTTCACATCAGTGCTGCTGCTACTCTATGCTGGTGTAATTCAAGGAATTTACAGCAGGGCAGCAAAAAAGCAGCCCCTGCTTTAAGGCGGTACAGCTTCAAAAGCCTTTGGCTGTCTCTTGTGAAGTGCTGCAGCCAGCTAGGACCAAGTCTCCTCTGCAGGGGGAAGATAAAGAACAATAAGACCAACCATTAGATGCCAAAATATGATGACTTAGAGCTCAGACACTTGGAAGAGCTTCCACCAGACATTTTCTTAGGGGCTTAGATTTTTTTCTGAATCTGAAATACAGCTATTTGGAAAGCAGCTGCATCATGACATTACAGCAATCGTGCATGCTTCCCCTCTGAAGGGCACTCACTGCAACCCATTGTGTTATCTTGCATGATGATGAACTTGGGCAGCCATCAATACTCACTTAGGAATTGGCACCCGAATTATTGTCCCATCCACTTCTGGGTTCAGGTTCATGCCACTCTCCCTTATAGCCTTCGTAGCTGCAGCTGTGCTCTGTAAAACAGATCAAAAGGTAAAGGGAATTAGGAAATAATCACTCCCATATGCCAGAACTCTGTCAATAGTTGGCAATCCATCTCCATGGAACATGGAAACATTTACTTCTGTTACCAGTAAGATCAGGAAGTTACATTGGTGCAGAGAGCTTTGATCAAACCGAATGGGAAACTACGGCTGCGCTCAGTATCGGGGTAGGGGGGCACAAAGGGGGGAAGAGGGGAAGGGAAGCAACAACAAAAGAAAACTGTTTTGCTTCTTTGAAACTATTTGAATGGTTTGAGGCAACGCAGAGTGAAACCGCAATAAAATCCCAAGACGTCCCCTGACTGTGGCGAAGGAGATGAAAGATTCTGAGCGCTTAAAAATTCCAGTTGAATGTTTCCCACTAGAAATCACACAGTAACTTAACCACTTCAGCGCTACAGCCTAACCACATTACATCAGGGCAGTAGCAGTTGGCTGAGAAATAGTGCCTGTGCCCAGCGCTATGTTTATCTTGCACCTTGTTACTTAGGATTAACTTCTCCAGACTCTACCACCACTGGCTGACTGCTCTGCTCAAAAGGTGGGGTGCTGCAGTGGAGTGGCTGCGAAGTGATTAAGAGGCTTCCTTCCCCATCCCAGGGCCCTGGTGTACCCTTACAGAGTGACAGGCTTAATGATTAAATCAGAGTTTTGCCAGGAGCAGCGCTCTGCCAGGTTGCTTCATTCTTGACGTTGTCAGTAACGACACCGAGTGAGTCTGTATTCTTGTGCTATTTCCTACAAGGCACATTGCTATTTCTGATACTCCTTCCCATCATTAACTTTAGCTCCAGGCTGCTGCAGGAGACTGTATTTATGGTTATTATGTATTTATCAGTTCAGCTTTTGTCAACTGAGGCACAAAGTAAAGCCTGACATATCTGCTTAGGTCTCCGACGTGTGGCATCACTGAACGGAATGAATGCTCTGCTGGTGTTTTGTAAGACCTAACTGCTGTCCTACAGAACACAACAAGGGCAGAGAAAACGTAACTGAGATGATCTCAGCACATTAGGAATGTAAATGTGTTATTCTATGGACAGTGCTTGCTCTGTAGGAAGGAAATGCTCAGTAAAAGCCGTGTTGTTTAACATACAGATTGGAGGAGAGAGAGGAAGGGGAAAATACTGCAATATTGCTCCACCAACTTGCAGCCCATGAAATAAATAGCCATGCTTAAAAAACATAATCTTGTTTGGTTTTATAACTCCCAGGCAAACAGAATTTGGCCCTGAAAGTCCTTTTGTGATTATTCTCTTTTCCAGACTCTTCAGGCATTTTTATTTCCTTTTCAATGGCATGAAGTACTGACAATATGCTGTAAATAATGACATCAAGTAAATTATCTGTAATGGCTTTAAAGAGTTCAATCTATCCATGGAACAGCTATGGTATAAACTAACTGCATTGAGAGAAATAGTTCTTAGCTCTAGTAGTCATTTGGCTTAGACAGGCAATGCTACACTGTGGTACTTAATTTCTCACATGCCCGTTTCTCAGCCTGAGCTCCTGCTTGGACACAGGCTGTAGTCACGGAGTGACTTCCCCAGCACTCCAAGGGACCTCGGTACACTCGCTGATGAGGAGCCTCCATTCTTCAAAGCCATTATACATGCTGGATGCACTTTAAGAAACACTTAGGCATCAAGTGCCTTACGCTGACCTCCTCTGAGACTTTGCTGACTTAATTGGGGAAAGCCTTTGCAAAATAAATAGAGATAAGCTTTGGCAAACCTCCAGAGGGATGAATAGCTAACCTTGCGCTCCTTACTGCTCCTATCTACACAGCTGCCCAGCGCTGCCTGTGTGAGCCCACTGCAGGGGACCACTAGTGCTTGATCCTGAGGCAGGATTTAGATTTGCTGCCTCATTCAGGGGCAAGACTAACTAAGGCTCCTGCAGGAAATTAAGGGAACTCGGATCTCCCAGAGAATGGGTAAAAACACCTAATTCGGGCTCTGAGCTGTAGATAATGCCAAGGGAGGAGCTCACTAATCTCAGCAGTGCTCTGTGACAGCGCTTAGCATGGGCACAACTTAGTCCTACCAGGGAGGCTTTTCACAAGCTTGTAGGCTACATCAGCAGCTCTCAGGGGGTGTCACCACCCCTGGTGATAAGTAAGCAAGTTTTACAGGAGTTGGATGGTGTTCTTGGCACAGACTATTCCAACCATGCATCTGGTTCTGTGCATGGCCACTTCTTCACAAGGAACTGAAATGACATGAATACAACAGGGCAGATGCAGCATCGCTTCCACATGTGCAGTTCAGGTGAACCTAAGGAGTGTGTTTGTGCTCTGGGTGCTGTAAAAGCACGGGAAATGGGGAGACCTGGCAGTTAATCCAAGCATCCAGTCTCCGACATGCTCAGCTTTGAAACCAACCTCTTGTAGACCCAACTGACGGGAAACCAGTCCCCCAAACAAACCCCTCACTCTGTGGTATTTATGGATATGACCCCAAGAGCAACCCCAGCCTGATGGGCAGCGTGTAACTCCCGTCTGGCCCTGTGCTGCTGCATGTGAGATGCTCTGTGCACCAGGCAGGGCTAGCGAGTCACTCAACCCGTGTAGTCAGCAGCAAAATGCCGCTTCTGTTTTGTGTCAGCCGCGAAGCGACACAGAGCCAGAGCTCTCAGCCCTGCCAGGTTTGACTGATTTTGTCTAAATGTCCCTTTGCTCAGCACCAACCTGTTTGTTCCCATGTAATTATCTCCTTGCAATGCCTTTGATAACGTGTCCTTACCTCTGGAAAACTGGTCATGTTCACTACAATGAGCTGCGGTGACTTCAGTGAGATCTGCCCCAGCTGGTTCAGCGGAAACTTCCCATCTTTTGTCATCACAATTATGTGATCAAGGGCCCCTCAAAAGAACCAAACACAGGGGAGTTTCAGTGTGATACAGCAAAGCTGAATAAAAACGTGTGCAGTGTCCCACTTCCCTTGTGCTATGCAAAATATAGATGTTACAAAAGGAAAATAAGCCATGTTTATTCAGACTTCAGATGCTGTTTGTGTTCCTGCATCCCCTGTGGTATTTGCAACCTAAATATTTCAATGCTGCTCTAAAGCACAAAAACATGCAAACAAAACTCGTGTTTGTTTTTGTTGCTAGAATAGGAAAACTAAGCAGGATTGTTAAGAATTAAAAGGAAATCGTTGTTTTTTAATTCTCAGAGCATAAAGAAAATCAAACTGTTGTTATAGAAATCAAGACTATTGTCTTTAATTTAGCAGCGTTCTCTTCATCCTCTCACTTCCCCCCCCCACCCCAAGTCCCAAGAGGAGGTGTCGTACACTGCCTAATTTAAAGTATTCAGTTTCTCCCTGAGCTACTCTTAATCTGCTCTCTAGTTTCTGCTGCAAAATGTTAACAGGCCAAAAGGCACATGGGACAAGAGGTACTTTATCAGTGCAATTAAAAAAAATACCTATGGCTAAAATAAATAGTTAAGAGCCTGAGCTATGCTTTCCAACTCCATTAAAGACTGAAGTTCCCCTGCCAGAGCTGGGGTGGTGAATGATTCAAACTTGGTCATTGTTTAATGTTAAATTTTATCCTTGAAACTTGATACTACTTACAAATACGTATGTTCAGAGTGTTATAGTAACCGTAGCTTAGTCAAATATATTCACATTTCTTCTTAGAACACAAACTTCACTAAATGAACAAGGCTTGTAAAGGTCACTAAACATAAAGATGAACAGCAAAAGAAGTTTGTATACGCCAGACACCAGCCTGATGGCAATTTCCAAAAGGCTAATTTAATGGCAATTGGATTTTTCCTGCCCTACTGCACCATTAGCTGACAACCTGCTTCTTCATCACATCTGCAAACGGTTCAGTTAGACACTTTTGACATCTCCCACTTAGAAAAGCTATTTCCAGGAAGCTATTAACAAAAATGGATTCTTCCTGGTCAAGCTCAGGGTGAAGAAAGCCTTTAGTTGGGGACAGCATGGTTGTAGTAATTGGGTGCCCAGTGAATAACTCCATAAAAACAAAACAGATTTGGAAAAACTCAGAGTTCTCTGTTACTAGGAAAGGTATCCGTGTTTACAAGCAATAGAACATCATGCAAGAAGGTTACCAACCTGGTGAGGTTCTAACACTGAGATTTCTGCTTAAATCTTCTTTCAGAGCTTCTACCACTGCCTGCATGTCTTCACTGGTTTCCTCCAAATTGATAATATCCTCAACTAGGGCAGCACTGATATTCACTTTGGCTTGACTCTGTCCTTTGCCTTTAGCTGCAGATTACACGAAAAATTAAGTTCTATTTCTGACAACAGTTAAGTTGTTGCATTTGAAAGCAGAAATAAGATATTAAACCCCCGCGCAATTACATTCAAAATTGAGTCTAAGATAAACCAAAGTAACTGTATTTTTTAATGAGTAAATAACCCAGCACTTAAGTATCAAATGTAGTTGTTGGTCATGCTGTGTGCACTGACTCCAGCCTTGACTCTGGTGATTGATACCCACTGCCCCAGTGCAGCAGCAGCAGCTCTCCCAAGGGAAGGGTCAATACTTCCCATGCACTGCACCACCACGAGGCAAACCAGCTCCTCCAGAGCTGTGTTCTGCCTAAGTCAGAGCAATACTGGTACATGAGATACAGGGGACAGGAAAGGAAATCCTGGAAACATACCAAGGGGTTGCAAACAGTAGGAAACCCATTACCTTTCTTGGTAGCTAGCTGTCTGGTCAGCAGCACCTGATGGACACACTGCCTGCAGCCATCCAGGAGCAGGGCTGGGCAGCCCGCAGGAGCCTGCGGCAGCCCCCGTATCACTGCGAACGAGGAGCGATAGAGGAGGGAAGGCAGATGCCGGAAGCATCTTAGTGCCATGGCCATGGTCTGCAGCGCCTCTCTAACCCACCTGCAAAAGAGGAGAGGCAGGCGGTCCACCCGGCGTGCTGAGAAACGATTCAGGCCTTAGTTGTACCTATTGGTGCGTGGTGGGAGTTGAGCCTTATGGGTGTTCTGCAGCGACCAGCGGGCAAACTCAGTGGCAGGGGCTGGGCGGCTGCATGGGAATGCATCTGCACAGCTTGTGACACAGGAGCCACGTCTGCTAAGTACGAACAGCTCGTCCGGGGAGCGGGTGTTTACACATCGGCGGAGTAGAACCGCTCATTTCTGCCGCTCGGGGTCCGAGGCCCCAGACCCCGCTGGGCTGCCCCGGTTTTATTTCGGCGCAGTGGTTCGGC